AACCATGTATGTATTATTATAAACCTAGTAAATTAGTAAATTTGTATGGTTAAATTAACTTGCACTGAAGAAAGAGAGACTTCTTAGGAGTAAGAGACTATTGATAAAAAGTATTGTTTGTATTATGTAAAATACGATAGATATGAGATCAAGATGACGTTGTGTATTGTTTGTATAAAATACGAGAGATATGATATCATGGTGACGTTGTGTATTGTTAATATTAAGTAAAGTACGAGATATATGAGATCAAGGGGACGTTGTGTATTGTAAATATTAAGTAAAGTACGAGATATATGAGATCAAGATGACGTTGTGTATTGTTTGTATAAAGTACGAGATATATGAGATCATGGTGACGTTGTGTATTGTTTGTATTAAGTAAAGTACGAGATATATGAGCTCAAGAGGACGTTGTGTATTGTTTATATTAAGTAAAGTACGAAATATATGAGATCAAGGTGACGTTGTGTACTGTTAATATTAAGTAAAGTACGAGATATATGAGATCAAGGGGACGTTGTGTATTGTTAATATTAAGTAAAGTACGAGATATATGAGATCAAGGTGACGTTGTGTATTGTTTGTATTAAGTAAAGTACGAGATATATGAGATCAAGGTGACGTTGTGTATTGTTAATATTAAGTAAAGTACGAGATATATGAGATCAAGGGGACGTTGTGTATTGTTAATATTAAGTAAAGTAGGTAAGATTAGAGATCAAGATGGCGTTTTATATCGCTTGTAATTTCTTATAAAAAGCGAATTTCTATTACACATGTGTTAAAAAATAGATAGTGTCCGGAATGTTTTTATGTCACGAAGATCTAAACAAGAATTTTCCATAATATTGTGATAAAACTTTCATAATTTGTTTCAGGTGAACGAAGACGGTCTTGACGACGAAACGTTTATTAGCTTCCTATAAGTGGTCTTCTTGCGTCCAGAGTAAATGACCATCAAAAGCCACCAGAGATAAGAATATGAAGAGAACGCGAACTCTAAAGTGTCAGTTCCGCTTCAGATATATATTTACTTGCTAATCACGCCAAGAAATAACGACAGTATTTTTGTGTTCCGGTTGATAATACCATTTGTGAGTGATTCAACCCATAAAGTGATCGTGAAATCTTCCACTTCCTAGCTATATAACTATAATGTGCAGTTGACAAACTATACGAAGTAAAAGTGAACCGATCTTTGAGGCTCTGCAATATTGTTCGTTTGTATGCTTCTTCTACCAATACCATCATGGCGTCTTTGATAGAGGAACGGACCAAGTGGTTGACCACATCGTGTTGGACAGTGGTCATCTCTTTCGCTATTTTTGCCACCCCGGCAGAAGCAGATAATTCAACAACTAAATGTAAAGAAGGTTTAATAATTCCTTTATGGTTGCCTAATCATAACCTCAGTACGGGGGATGTCATTGCCAGGGGGATTGTTTATTTCATCGGTTTGTGTTATATGTTTGTTGGAGTTTCCATCATCGCCGACAGGTTTATGGCATCTATTGAGGTGATCACTTCCAAGGAAAAAGAGGTAGTGATTAAAAAACCAAATGGAGAGAAGCAGACCATTAGCGTGAGAATATGGAACGAAACTGTTTCCAATTTGACCTTGATGGCTCTTGGGTCATCTGCACCAGAGATATTACTCTCAATAATTGAAGTTTATGGGCAAAATTTCGAAGCAGGGGAGTTGGGACCTGGCACCATTGTGGGCAGTGCAGCCTTCAACATGTTCGTTATTATAGGTTTGTGTGTTTATGTGATTCCCAACAACGAGAACAGACGGATCAAACATCTGAGGGTTTTCTTCGTCACTATGACCTGGAGCGTCTTTGCGTACATCTGGCTTTATTTAATCTTGACCTGGTCATCGTACGGTGTTATTGAAGTTTGGGAGGGATTGACCACCTTCCTTTTTTTCCCAGCCACTGTACTGACCGCTTACATTGCTGACCGTAGGCTACTGATCTACAAATTCCTTTCCAAAAAGTACAGGATGAATAAGAGGGGGGTTATCGTTGGAGGGGAAGGAGAGGACTTAGAGATGGCAAGTGCAGCTAAAGTCAACAATATTGCCGACGGAAGCTTAAAAGTGTTTGAAGAAGAAGAGAACGACGAGATTCGAGAGTTTGAGGAGCACAGAAGAGAATACATTCAGATTATCCGCGAGCTCCGGCGGAAACATCCAGACCGGAACATGGAGGATATAGAGGTGATGGCTCGCGAGGAAATTCTTAACAAGGGACCCAAGAGCAGAGCATTTTATCGGATACAGGCGACAAGGAAGCTGACTGGAGGAGGTAACCTTATGAAGAGGAAGTTGGAGAAGCCCGAGGTAAAGAAGGAGCTCAGCGAAGAGGATATGGTCAAAGAAGATAAAGTTCGTATTTATTTCAACCCCGGCCACTACACCGTGATGGAAAACGTAGGGGAGTTCTCAGTTAATGTTACGAGAGAGGGGGATCCGAGTCCCACGGTTTGCGTCGACTTCCAAACAGAAGACGGCACTGCCGAAGCTGGTTCCGATTACGAACCGGTGGAAGGAACAATCGTTTTCCGCCCCGGGGAGTTACAAAAACAGATATTCATATCAATTGTTGACGATGATATCTTTGAAGAGGATGAACACTTTTATGTACGTCTGAGCAACCCTCGGTATTTGGGGTCCGACGGTGGATTGGGGGGAATGAACGGATCACTCGGGGGATTAGCACGCCATCCCCCCTTGCATCTGGCAGCACCTTCAATAGCAACAGTCATGATATTGGACGACGATCATAGCGGCATCTTCGCTTTCAGTGAAAATCAGTATGAAACTCCCGAATCTTCCGGCACTATTGATGTGCCCGTGAGCCGTTCCAGTGGAGCTAGGGGCCGTGTGGTAGTTCCCTTCAGGACTCTGGACGGCAGCGCTAAAGGAGGAGTTGACTACGATAGTACTGAGGGCGAGATTATTTTTGATAACAACGAAACCACGTAAGTAAATTCATTTTTGTACATAATTATGACCCAAAAGTAACAGGAAAAAAACAAAAATAGATGACATGTTGCACTCATTGTCACTTTTTATCATAATTACTAATTTCCAGCATTTCAGTCCTAAGACTTATCTGTAATTAACTTTAACTTGCTTGATTGTACGTGAAGAATCTCTAAACGTAACAGAAACAAAAATACATCATAAAACATGACGTCACGAACACGGGTGGATTACGTAACTTCACATGACGTCACAAACATTAGATAGTACGAACAATCCTGTGGTTTCTTAACGTTTAAATTCGTATTGTTAGGTCTCCGTTTGTTAATTAACTTTCCGTAACTTCTTTCCGACGAAACTTTAGCTACACAAGTCCTTACTTAATAAAAACTGGTTTATTCTTTCCGAATATAACTTTACCGATACACTCAACTTCAACAATCGCGCTAAACAAACGCTGTAACGTCTCTCGTGCTCTCTGACTGCAGTTCAATTACTCACTGTCTATACACACATTACATTACCCTCTTTTATATACCCGACTACCCTATATCTAGTAAATACTAGAGCATTCCCCAAAGTACAGGATAGTTCTAGAAGCTAGAGGGCGCCACACCAGTCACGTGACCTCGATGACGCAACAGTATTAATTTTCAATCAGTGAAAAGAAGAACACCTTCCACGGATTATTTACTCGTTTCGGTTGTCAAAAATCAATATCTCCAGCCATTTGCTACTTTCCATAAATAATTCGGATACGAAGAACCCACTTTGAGACTAATAACGGTTGGAGACGGCTTGAATGGGTAATAAAGAAAAAACTTTTAATATAGGTTTAACATAACAGCAAATGTACAACGTTCCGACTTGTACCTGTTGATGACAAAACCTTGTCGAAACGTTGTACTCCAAGCGTTATTCCATAAATAATGTCTTTGTTGCTACTTTGCTGCCCAAATATTCCTTAAAGTAAAGTTGTGGTAGTTATAATAATAATGTTATTAAATATTCAGGATTAAAAACAGTCATGTTCTCTGGAGGGTTGTACTTCCTAAATATGTGACTAACGTATAGAAATGAATAACATCTTTATACCAGACAAAACACTCAGACATTATCTCCCACCTTACTAGAGAAGAAAGGAAAATGTTTTATACTCCTTTTTTTTTTAAGAAATTGAACTTCTCGAGATTCTTTGAAAACAATCTACAATGTCCATATTTAATTTGTGTGATTAGTAATAGTGTTACGTCACAATAACTCAATAAACATTATTGAGTCTGTAGTGCTATAGTTTTATCCCAGTTAATTGGCTTTTAATAAATACTATTATTATGTTTTGAAAGTTGTTTGACTTGTTTCGTAGTGCAGTAGTTTTACCCCACTTTGGCTAAAAGAGCAAATCACTGTTCAGCTAAAAACGAGATACCGAAAACTATCAAAGCGGAATTTGAGTTCTCGAGCTATTATCACGCGGCGAATACTGTCATTTGTGTCTGGTGGACAGTTAATTTGTAGTGTCATGTCAACCTGCTTTGGTTTGTTTATAATTTCTCCAGAGGTCTCTGTTGTCCTGTTTGCGGACTTGTTCTTACCAAAAATATATTTTTTTTTGCATTTCCCCTAATAATATAGAAATAGTGAAGGTGGGGGTGAGGTTGGGGGCTGCCAGGTTTTACACTCTCGACAGTAAAGATAAGAGAGATTTTGTAGCTTTCTTGTGTTTTCTTCATAACACAAAGCATTATATCATTTACTCACTAGTCCCCCACCATTCCCTGCCTACGTTATATCTCTAGTAATTGTAAGTTATTATTTATAAATTGTGCTCGTGGGTTCTCTTTAGTTTATCTCATCAATTTGGTTTCAGTTTCGATAATAAATTAAGATATATTTTCAGTTTTAAACACTCCGATATTAATATAGCGTCGAGTTTTTTGTTGGTTGTTATGGAACCCATAAACAACTCGACCATTACCATGGCAACGCATTAAATTCGTGTTTAACGAACAATGAAAATACACCCTTTCACTCTTCTGTTTCTATAGAAACTGAGTTGAAATGAAGCCAGATACCAGCTATAAATATCTCCACGGTAAGGATTCAAGTTTAGATGTGCATATTATTATCGTATTGGTTATGTACACTTATTATGTAAGAAAATAATTAGCGTAACCTTGACAGGGAAATTAGTTCTGTTCAATGAATTAATATTGTTATTAGTGTATCAGAATTATGCATTGTTTTGTTGCCATTATAGAATTAAATCTGAAGGAAATTTAAATAGCTGAGTAGACCGCGTTACTGAATAAAAACAGCCGTTAAAGACATCGTACGGTTAGTTAGTTCACTGAGTGACTTTTACCTGTGTTAGTTATGGTTTTAGTGAAATTCATTCGTCACCTTTGACAGTTACTAAACCCCTATTACGTATGTTCACTAAACCCCTTAGTGTGAGTTGCAACGTTTTCAGTATCCTTTCTTATGGTTAACGGGTAGAAAAACAACAAAACATATTGTTGGTCTTATAGCCAACGCGATCCGTTAGTAATTTCGACGTTTTTATTCTGTACACGCTTTAAGGTTTCGCCAATTACTGTCAATGTTATAACCTCCACTGGTTCTGCCTTGTCACGTTGTTCTGCTCTACTTCCAATATTAAGCCCACGATAACAAGTATAGTCGACGAAAGAACACGGCTGGTGAATTCTGGCCATGAAAGTCGCTCTTAATCAACCAATAATGTTCTTACGTAGCCCTTCCGTCACACAATACTGTGACCTGGTAATCATGGTTACTTATCACAATTTCAAATTTATAAAGAAATTTTAAATTAAGAGTTATCTAAATATACTGGAAAGCACAGGTAATCAAACTGATAAACAGAAATAGTGACAAGTAGTAAATACATGGTTCAAAAAATAATCTGGTTACTAGGTTTATAATAATACATACATGGTTCAATAATAATCTGGAGTAAAAATACCTCAGTAATTGAACTCGACGTACCACATTTACAAGTAAGGATCTTTTTGACAACTCACACTATCACATTTACAATTAAGGATCTTTTTAACAACTCGCACTATCACATTTACAGGTGAAGATCTTTTTAACAATTCAAACTATCACATTTACAAGTTAAGATCTTTTTCATAACTCAAACTACCACATTTACAAGTAAGGATCTTTTTAACAACTCCAACTATCACATTTACAAGTAAGGATCTTTTTAACAACTCAAACTATCATATTTACAAGTAAGGATCTTTTTAACAACTCAAACTATCATATCTACAAGTAAGGATCTTTTTCATAACTCAAACTACCACATTTACAAGTAAGGATCTTTTTCATAACTCAAACTACCACATTTACAAGTAAGGATCTTTTTAACAACTCAAACTATCATATTTACAAGTAAGGATCTTTTTCATAACTCAAAATACCACATTTACAAGTAAGGACTTTTTTAACAACTCAAACTATCATATTTACAAGTTAGGATCTTTTTAACAACTCGTATTACCACATTCGCTAGTAGAGAAGTTATTAAGAACTAAATTTCCACACTACGTTATTGTAACTTTGATAGTGTGAGTTGTTAAAAAGATCTTCACTTGTAAATGTGATAGTGTGAGTTGTCAAGAAGATCCTTACTTGTAAATGTGATAGTGCGAGTTGTTAAAAAGATCCTTACTTGTAAATGTGATAGTTTAAGTTGTCAAAAAGATCCTTACTTGTAAATGTGATAGTGTGAGTTGTTAAAAAGATCTTCACTTGTAAATGTGATAGTGTGAGTTGTTAAAAAGATACATACTTGTAAATGTGATAGTTTGAGTTATTAAAAAGATCTTCACTTGTAAATGTGATAGTGTGAGTTGTTAAAAAGATACATACTTGTAAATGTGATAGTGTGAGTTGTTAAAACGATCCTTACTTGTAAATGTGATAGTGTGAGTTGTTAAAAAGATCCTTACTTGTAAATGTGATAGTTTGAGTTGTCAAAAAGATCCTTACTTGTAAATGTGATAGTGTGAGTTGTTAAAAAGATCTTCACTTGTAAATGTGATAGTGTGAGTTGTCAAAA